GAAAAAGTATTCCACAAGTGGTAATATTTTCGACATGAAGCCAAAAGTTATTCCTTTTAATAGCTTCATCAATAATAAAAGTGATAATAATAGCAATAATAATGATAATGCATCTAGTTGTAATAATAGCAATATAAATAACATAGGCAATAGTAGTAATACTATTGATGATAATATAAATATGAATAGAAATAACGGCAGTAGTAATAGTGGTAATAGTCATAATCATAATTATAATCATAATCATAATCATAATCATAACCATAATCATAATCATAATCATAATCATAGTCATAATCATAATCATAATAACAATAACAACAATAACAATAACAATAACAATAACAATAACAATAACAATAACAATAACAATAACAATAACAATAATAATAATAATAATAATAATAATAATAATAATAATAATAATAATAATAATAATAATAATAATAATAATAATAATAATAGTAATAATATGAATAGAAAACGAAGTAGTAATTTAAATAGTATTTCAAATATTTGCAATGATGGAAAAGATACAGATAATGATTATTATAAAGAATATACTCTCCCTAAATATATTAAAAGAGATATTAGATTCGAGTTTAACCAACATAATATAGATATGCTTGGGTCAACTGGTTATCATTATAGTATCACTCATAATAGTAACCACCATCAATTTTTTCAACAGTTTAATAACCATCATCAACAAAATAATAATAATAATAATAATAATAATAATAATAATAATAATAATAATAATAATAATAATAATAATAATAATAATAATAATAATAATGGTGATAAAATGTCAGTTGGTGAAATTATTGATGACTCAAGAATTGAGGCTGTTTATAGTGGTAGTAATAAAATTTATCAACCAAATAAACCCACATCCTTTTCTTCAAATAATATAATTTATAATACAAACCAAAAAAATAAAAATTCAATAGATGAAGCCAATAGCAATACTAATAGCAATAATAGTAATAATGATGAAAGGTCATCAATGGATAATAGTAATAGTAACGGTGATTATAGACACATTAAAAGGTTTAGCCCGGATGAAAATGAACAAAATAATGAGGAGGACTCTTATTCCAAATTTAACGATAAATCAAATAGTCAGGCTAAATTTAACATTTATCCAAGAACAAAACCGATTGTATCAAGTTTAAATCATAATAATGGTAGTGGTGATTTTGAAAGAGGCAATAACGTAGATAGCAATAATAACTATGTAAAAAATAATTATAGTAATAGTAGCCCAGTCAATAACTCACAAAAAGATCAAATCAATTTAGTGAATAGTAACTCTAATATTATTTCAAATCATAACAATCAACCACCTTCACAGCAACAACCACCACCATCGCAAAACCCGCAACAACAAATACAGTCGCCTCCACCCCACGTTTTAAATAATTCAACAATTCCTCCACCAATCCCACCTGTAAATAAAGAAAGATACCAGTGCCAACATATTGGTTGTTTGGAGGTTTATAGATGGCCTTCGGGTAGGTCCCACCATTATAAATATGCCCATAGAACTGAATGCCCAGAGGTTAACGGGGAACAGTGCCCAAAATGTTCAAGTAATAAAAGATCAAAAATTATCAAAAAAACCAAATGTCGTCATTTTACATGCAATATGTTGATCACACCAAAAAATAGATCTCGTCATGAGAGAAATTTAAAGCTCCATAATTGCCCACCATCTTGTGAAGCTTGTAAATCAATAAGGCTAAGAGAAATAATGGGTGGTTATAAATATCAGGACATAGATTCACCTCCAGAACAATATCACGAGGAAAATATTTATTCACAAAGTCCAAATAATGAAAATTACCAATCGCATCATAATAGTAATAACAATAACAATAATAATAATAGCCATAACAGTAGTAGTAATTCTAATTCTAACAGCAGTAATAATGGCAATAGTAATAATGGTAATAATGGCAATAATGGAGGTAATAACCAACAGTTTCATCATAATACCTATCAATCCTCTCCAATGTCTAGTCCCCAAATATATTCGCATCAACACCATCACCAACAACAACATCAATATCAACACTCACCACATCACCAACAATACCAAAATCATCAACATCAAAACCAACAAAATCAGCAATATCAAAACCAAAATCATCAACAACAATATCACCAACATCAACAACAATACCACCCACATCATCAACAAAATCAAAATCATTTTATTTATCATCAACAAATTAATCTCGACGATCATGATTAGCTTTATCACTGTAAAAAATAAAAAGAAATTAGAAAGCCTCAAAATTAAAATAATAAACTTAAAATAAATGATAGTTATCGTTTGTTCGTTTATTTAATTGTATAAAAATCTAAAATTAACCTTTTTATAATTTTTCTTTTATATTTTATTTTTTTAAATTCAAAATAATTTTTATTTCTTAGAAATAATTAAAAAAATTCATATTACATAATTAATGGAATATAAATTATTTATTTTTATTTTATTTTTTAACTTGGATTCTAGTCGAAACGCCGTAGTGGTCACTTAGTTGAGTAAATGGAAAGCCTTGAATAAAGAATGGTTCTACTTTTGTGGAGCCTTTTACGGTGGAAACAACATGATTGGATGGTCCTTGAGGAGATTGAACTTTATCAATATCAACACCACCAACCGAAACTTCAAATTCTCTGTTGAAAATTAAAATATAATCTAATCTTTTCATACATTTATAATCGTTTGGATTGGTAAGAGCAGTTTCTAATGGTACTTCCTCTATTTGACCTTTGTTATCCTTTTTTTGTTTTATATCGCCAACAGTTGGAGGATGGTTTCCGTTTGAATCATCTTTTAAGAGATCGGTAATTGAAAAAACTTTTTTATCTTTTGGGAAATATTCATTTGGATACTCTTTGTTATTTGTAGTTGAAAGTAAATCTATCATTTGGGTATATGAGGTACTATCTCTTGGGTCGTCTTTTGATGTTCTACCATCAACATTTAAATCTCCAGCTAAAAATATTGTTGATTTATCTCTAAAAGTTTTTGCAATAATAAATTCACGAAGTTGGTTAATTTGAATAATTCTAATGTTATCGTTTTTCATATTTGGATAGTTAATTGTGTTTGGTTGTTGCTCTAGTGGTGGTGGGTTTGACGTTTCTTTACGAGTTTTCTTATCTACTTTTGGGGCATAAGAGGCTTGCATATGAGTTGTAAAGAGATGTATAAAATTATCATCATCACTATCCAAACCATTAGGAACCACTTTAATTTTTGTATAAAGAACACCTTTTGAGGCCAGCATATCACTGTCTACACCTTGTTCATATAAAAAATAGTCTGTTGCAACAATTGGATATTTCGATAATACAACTAAACCACCATCAACTAAGAAAGTTGATTTTAAGTAAGCAGGTAAGGGTGATGCGGAGTAGTATTTAAAACCTTGCTGTTTGGCCTTCTCTATGAACCTTCTTTGACGATAGCTGAATGCTGAAAATAGTTCTTGAAAACAAATGATATCATACTGACCAAGAATTGATTTAGAGTTGATTGGTTTGAAATCTTTAGAGTTGTTATGAAGAGATTGTTGTTCTAATGGTGTCTTTGATTTTTGTTGAGTATATTTTGGATATTTCCATGGTGAAAAATAAGGTATATATGGGAAACTATTACGATCTATTGAATAGATTTCATTTGGAATGCCTTGTGGGCTTGTGGTATTTTTATTTAAAACATGTGGTGTTAAATTTTCTGATATCATACATTCTATTCTTTCGTCTTTATAGTCGTCATAATTATTTCTAATACCAGGTGGCCTAATGAAAACATTATAAGTAAGTAATTTTATATCTGTATTTTTCATTTTATTTAAAATATCTTGTTCTTGCAAATATTGATTTCTTTTATTATTATTATAATTATTATTATAACTAAAAAAGCTATCAATATTCTTAACTATAGAAAAAATAGAGTTTTTATGGTTATTGATATTGTAATTAAAATTAGTACTAAAATTAAAATATAAAATTAATGAAAAACAAATAAAATAATAATAGAATTTATGATAATAAAATTTCATAATTTTTAAAAAATAATTAATATAGAAAATAGAAATTATGAATATTTAATTATGATTAAAGCCAAAGTAATGAATTAATAAAAATAAAAGAAGTAACAACAAAAACATAGTTTTTATATGTAGATTATATTTTTTTGATTTTTTTTTTTTTTGATTTAAATAAATAATAGGGTGCTAATACTAATAAATAAATGTATGTATTTGATATTTTAAATAAAGTTAATTGTATAAATAAAATAAAAAAGGAAAACTTGCATTACAAAAAACAAAATAAAAAAAACAAAACAAAGCAAAAATAAAATAAATCAAAATAAATCAAAACAAAATAAAATAAAATATAATTACCTTAAAAGAATATTCTATAGTTTAATAATTATTATTTAAAAAACTAATAAAAATAAAAAAAAAAAAAAAAATTTTAAAAAATTTAAAAAAATTCAAAAAAAAATAAATTATTTAAAAAATAAGTTAAAATTATAATTTTAATATATTATACGTATTATTTAATTATATTTTACAAAAAAAAAAAAAATAATAATAAAAAAAATTTTTAATAGAATAAGTTATTATTTAGATAATTTTACAAAAATAAAAAAAATATGCAATTGATTTTTTTTTTTTTTTTTTTTTTTTTTTTGGTATTAATACCAAAAAAAAAAGGTAATTGTTTTATTTATTAAATTATTTACGATTTAATAATTCGTTTAGTTCGATTTTATATTTATTTAATTTATCAATTTTTTGTTCTTGAACTTTAAGAGGTACCCTTTGTTTGAAATCTTGAGAGTTAATAGTTTTTTCTAAATCATTAATGAAAGATTCCAACTTTGTAATTTTGGATTGTAAAGCTTGTTGGGATTGTTGTTGAGATTGTTGGGATTGTGCTGGATTTAAAAATTGATTGTTTTCATTTGAATCAAACTCAATTTGAATTTGTAAACCATCAGCTATAGTTGTAATTTTGCCATTTGATTCGTTAATTTGGTTTTGTGAAATTATTTGCCCTGAAATAACCAAAGAAGCATTAGCTATTTTTTCGAATGAATCTTTTAATTGTTCAAAAGTATTTAATAAGTTAATATTAAATTTATCCCTGAATGAATCGGCATCGACGTGCAGGGTAACATTGACTTTAGTTTTATCGTGAATTGTTAATAAACTTCTTTGGGCTCTGGTGGCATGTAAAACACTTTGGAATAATGAAATTTCTTTTTCGATTTTTGCCTCATCTTGTAAATATTGTTTATGGTATTTATAATTGGTTGTTGGGTATTCTGAAACCATAATTGAAATGGTTTGTTCACAATTGAGTGATTCCATTTGACTGGCTCTTGGTAATCTTTGCCAGATATCCTCAGTAATAAATGGCATAAATGGGTGTAATAATCTAAGGTATGTATCCAATACATTAATTAATACCATTTTGCTTGATTCATTATTTCTATTTAACTCTACTTTTATACATTCTAAATATAAATCACAAAAGTCATATTGGAAAAAAGAATATAGCTATATAAAAAGAAACTATTAGTATTTTAAATCAAACAATTATAATGCATAGTTGTATTTTAATATATTTACACTTTGTGAAATTGTTGATAAATTAAATGAATTAAAATTTGAATTTGATGACTCTATTAATTTTGATAATCTTGTTAGAATCCATTTGTCAATTAATGTAATTGAATTATAATCAAATGGTTCAGTGTTTCCATTATAATACATTGTAATTGGCTTAATTGATTCTATATTATTACAATTTGACAATACTAGTTTACTTGCATTCCATAGTTTATTACAGAATAAACGAATTCCAATAATCTTATTAATATCTAAATTAATATCTTTTCCATTGATTGGATACTGGGACAAAGAAAGACGTAACGAATCAGTGCCGCATTGGGGAATTCCTTGAGGAAACTCTTTATCTAAACCTTTTGTAGCAATGGATTTTTCTTTATCTGTAAGATTTGATGACAAAACATTATCCTTAAGCTCTTTAAGTGTTATGCCATTAATCACATTGAGTGGGTCGATGACATTACCTAAACTTTTTGACATTTTTCTTCCTTGTGAGTCCCTGATCATTGGATGTAAAAGAATACTATTAAATGGAATTGGTGATTCTGGTACTAAAGTTGAACATAACATTACCATTCTAGCCACCCAAAAGAATAAAATATCGGATCCAGTTTCCATAACATCTAGTGGAAAATATTTTTTGAAATCAATTGACTCTTTTTCGTTTGGCCAACCTAATGATGAGATTGGGAACAGTCCAGATGAAAACCATGTATCTAAAACATCTTGATCCTTTTCCAATGTAAACTCACCTTTCTTTAAGTTATAGTTTTTAATTGCGATTTCAGCTGCCTCTTCTTCAGTCTTTGCAACAACCCATTTTTCATTTACCAAACTCATACCATTAATAATACTATTATTACCATCATTATTATCAGTTGCTCTCAAATTATTTTCTATTATAAGATATGCTGGAATTGGATTACCCCACCACAGTTGTCTTGATATACACCAATCTTGAATATTGTTGAGCCATCTAAACCAATTTTCTTTAAATGATTCTGGTACAATTTTAATTTCATCTTTTTCAACATAACCAACTGAACGACTAGCCATTGCTTTACAATCAACATACCACTGAGGCTTTAAAATTGGTTCGAGCAAATCACCAGATCTACTGCAGATTGAAAGAGTGGTTGGATGTGGTTTTTTACCATGATAAAGTCCTTTCTCTTCTAACTTTTTGATAACCAAGGGTCTAGCGTCCAAACGATCAACACCATTAAATTCTGGAATTGTGTTTTCATTAAGGGTACCATTTGAGTTCATAATATTAATAAATTCTAATGAATGTCTTGTGCCACATTGATAATCGTTGAAATCATGACCTGGAGTAATTTTAACAACACCTGTACCTAAAGTTTTATCAACTAAAATTGGGTCCAAAACAATTGGGATTCTTTTTTGTGTAAATGGATGAACTGCGAATCTACCATGATAACTTTTGTATCTTTCATCTTCTGGGTGAATAGCAATACCAGTATCACCAAAAATAGTCTCTGGACGGGTGGTACTGACTATTAAATCTTTTAATTGCTCCATTGAAGAATCTGAATTGTCAATTTGATAAGCAACATCATAGATAACACCCACTTCGATAGACTTTACTCTTGATTTCAATTTAATTGATGTTGGTTTTTCAATTTGTTGATGATCGATTTCAATGTCAGAGATTACAGATTGCAATTGTGGGCACCAATTTACCAAACGTGTTGATCTATAAATTAAACCCATGTTGAACAAACGGATGAATGCTTCTTGAACAGCATTGTTTCTTTGTTGATCCAAAGTGAATACTGATCTACTCCAATCTAGTGAACTACCAGTAATACGCAATTGATTATTTATATTTTTTGAATAGATTTCAGTCCATTCAAAAACTTTCTCTAAAAATTTCTCTCTACCTAGATCATATCTTGTCTTTTTTTCCTTTACCAACAATTGCTTTTCAACTGCTACTTGTGTTGCAATACCACTGTGATCCAAACCTGGTATCCATACAACCTCTTTTCCCAACATTCTATTATATCTAACCAATGAATCCTGAATTGTAGTTGTTAAACTGTGTCCTATATGAAGTGATCCTGTAACATTTGGTGGAGGTAATACCATTGAGAATTTTTCACCATTTTTATTTTCTTTTGGTTTGAATAACCCATGATCTTCCCAAAATTTATATTTATTTAATTCGACATTTTTCTAATTGAATTAAAAAATAAAAAGTTAATAAAAATAAAAGATTATAATTTGGGCAGTATTTTCTAGGTAATTTAAAAACTAATACACACAGGATCGAATGATGATTTAATTAAACTTTCGTCAAATGGTGCTCTAATATAATATCTATTAAAACTGATTTGGTTTCTTGTATTAAATAATAATGTTTTATTATTATTTAATAACCTATTCATATTTGAATAAAGTTTTTTTTAATGTTTTAATAAAAAATGAAAAATGAAAACAATGAAAAAAAAAATAAAAAATAAAAAATTTAAAAAAATTTTAAAATAAAAAAAAAAAAAAAAAAATAAAATCAATTTATTGGAATATAAAACAAATAAAGGAGGAATCACTTAAAGAAACAAAATATTTGATGTGTGAATATTTTGAATATTAAAAATCGAAAAAAAACCCACATATCTAAAAATAATAATAATAAAATAAACATAATATAAATAATTGATATAGACAAATTACTACTAACCAATAAATAAAAATTCAAAAAGAAATAATAATAATAAAAAGGGTGAACCTAAATATTTATTTAATGTTTTTAAAAAATCAAGTTTTAATTAATTTCATTTTTTTTTTTTTTTTTTTTTTTTTTTTTTAAAATTGGGTTTTGATTATCTTTATTTTTTTTTTTTTTTTGTATTATATTAATAATTAAGAATGGGTTTTTTAAAATTTTTAATATTATGTTTTTTAAGTTTAATTATAATAAACTATTTAGATTATACAAGTAAACTTATTTATATAGATTTATATACCACAGAAATATATAAACACAGAGACACTCTTAACAATCCCATTATATATAATGGATCCCTTTTTAGCGACTCATATGCTATTATATTACCAAGGTCGGACTATTCGATTACCCCATTATACAATAAAGAAATAAAAGGCTTTAATCAAATCAATATATATAGCATTAAAGGAAATGATTTTTTTTTAATTGAAAAACCCATCCAACTTAATAATGGAGTGTACAAATCTAAAACCCATGGCAATACCTATATAATTATTACAAACAACGGTTTAATATATACAGAATTTAGTGTCGAAATTAAAGTCCATGGTGACGAAGCATTTAATCTTAGAGGACTGGAACGTTTTGTAGTGATGGTACCATTTTTTATAACTTTTTTAATATGTGTTTATTATAGTTATAAACTACTATTCCCGGTAGAACAAGGAAAAAAGAATTGGCTGTATTTTTTAATAGTTTTTGCAATCTATTTACTATTAAAATATTTAGAATTCAAAAATATTATTACTTTTAATGTATATCAAATTATAGAAAAACACCCATCTGCACTCAATTTTTTATATTATCCAATTGTTTTTACAATTTTATTATTAATTTATTATGTCTATAAAAAAACAATAATTAAAAATAAAATTGAATAAAAAACATTTTAAAACAATATTGTTTTTTAATATATTTTTATTTTTTTTATTTAAATTATTATTTTATATTTTTTTTTTTTTTTTTTACTTGAAACTACAAAACAATACTCCGATAATAAATGTTGATACAAATCCTTTAACCAATCAAATACAACCTTGGTGGAGGATTGATTTCTTGATTTTTTCAAAATAATGCTGGGAACAATTTTAAGTATAATATTTTTTTTATTTTTTTTATTAGAATCATAAAAAACGTGCTAAAGAATCCAATTTTTAGTGTGGTTAGTCAAAATCCCAATACCATCACAATTTATTTTTTGAAAAGATACCACCTTTGACTCTTAAAATAAATTTAAATCAATTTAATCTAAAAAAATTAAAAAAAAATTAAAAAAAAATTTTTTTAATTTTTTTAAATTATTATTTTTTTCTTTTTTTTCCTTTTTATTTTTTTTATTTTTTTTTTTTTTAAAATTATTTTTTTGCTATATATAAATTTCGTTTATTTATTTATTTTTTTTAATGAAATTATATATTTTTATATAGTATATTTATACTATATAAAGGAATATTATTGTAAATAGTCAACTAATCAATAGTTTTTTTTTATTTTTTTTTCAATAAATACCAATATTTTTTTTTTTTTTTTTATAATTTGTAAATTTGTTAAATAATTAAGAAAAATATATATAAATAATAAAATTTTTGGAACAACATTAAAAAATGTTTAAATTTAAAAAGTTAACAGAATTTGTAAAACAAAATCTTAATAATGTAAAACGTCAGAAAGAAATATTCAACTTTCATAAAGAATTAAATCACCATATACAATGTATTAGATTTTATCAACTATTTTATTTTAACCATCACCAATCATGTAATATAAATCAACAATTTCAACAGAGGAATCATTATAGAGAATATTTTTTTAATATTTATGAAAATTTATTAAATAAACACAATTTAAATAATTTTAGTTACAATAATAATAATAATAATAATGGTGGCACCTATCAAAACTATCACCACTACACTGGTGGGGGTTGTGGGAATAATGCAAACTCGGGTGGCAATGCACACAATAATAATGGATCAACGGGTGGTAGTACAAATAATAAATACGATTTTTTCTATCAACATAATAATTTCCACAATCAAAGTCGTCACAAATACTATTCACATCATCGTCAATTTTATGGACATTACTATAGAAGATATTATCAACAACAACAACACCAATGTAATAGACACCAACCAAAGAATGATAGGTTTGGTCTTTCTAGTTGTGATAAAAATGGACCAAAGAGTAAAAACAATGCTAGCTCGAATGGTCACTATAGTATTACATCTGCAATTTGCAACCAACTCTATGAATGTGCACAAAATCCAATGTTATTCTATATATACAATAAAAGGAAAAATGGAAGTCAAAGATCGTGCCATTTAAAAAAAAAACTGTATAAAAAATTACCAGAAAACCATTCGTCACGTAGCAGTGTAAACAATCGACATCAAACTACCCCATATACCTCAATTCCTGGCGAAAGCGTTACACCTTTAACATCAAACAATAGATACACAATGTCAAATTTTATTCTTTCACAAAACATTACATTAAAGAAAGACTCTCATTCTGACCACAACAGACTCTTTAGTAGCAGCACACCCCAGTTATTTGTATTATCAAAACTTACAAGAGTACTTGTGCCAATAGCAATGACCGGAATTCGTTCATCACTCTCCAAACACAATCTATTTAAACGTCTTGGCATGATATTTTTAATTTTGGCCTCTGCCACTGGAACCTATTTAATTTTAAATCAAGATGAAGTCCCAATTACTGGCAGATCAAGATTGGTTAGCTACTCTAAAGAAGAAGAACATGAACTTGGTCAAATGGGTTATGACGAAATGACCAAAGAATACTCTCCTTACTTTTTACCAGAAAATAACCAAGTTCAAAATAGAGTAAGAGAAATTGCCAAACGTATTATCGATGTTACCGGTCGTAGAGATTTACAATGGGAATGCCATGTAGTAAACTCTGAAACTGTTAATGCCTGTGTTTTACCCAATGGCAAAATTTTTATATTTAGTGGTCTCTTTGAAATCTGCGAAAGTGAGGATGAATTAGCAAGTGTTCTTAGTCATGAAATTGGCCATGCTGTTGCTCGTCATGCTGCTGAACGTCTTTCAATCAGCAAACTAGGCTATTTATTTCTTACCCTAACTCGTGGTTTAATTGGTGAAACTATCACTGGCAATCTCACTACTCTTTTCTCTACCAACCTTTTAAATTTACGTTATAATCGTATTCAAGAGATTGAAGCCGATCTCATTGGTTTAGAATTTATGGCAAAAGCAAACTATAACCCATATGCAGCCCTTTCAATTCAAAAGAAATTACAAAAATATGAAAACTCCATCAAAGACACCAGCACCAGTATTTCAACATTAGATTTCTTATCAACCCATCCAGCTCCAGAAGAAAGAATTTTAAAAATTGAAAATTGGTTAAATCAAAACTCTTCAAAATTTAATTTCAAAAACAATCAAACCATTGAAAAAAATAAACTAGGCAATGAAAACTTAGCAAACACTGTCAGTAAAAACAGTGCAAATGTAAATTCTCTTTCCTCCACAACAAGACTCTCTTACTTAAGTCAAAAATAAATAAATAAATAAATATAAAACAAAACAAACAAACAAATAAATAAAAACTAATTATTTTAAGATAATATTTTTTTTTTCTTTTTTTTTTTTTTTTTTTTTTTTTTGGTTGTTTGTTCTGTGTGATAACAAGCATCCCTAAAAAAAATGAATTTCAGCACAAACCACACAAAAAATATTATTTTTTTTTTAAAAATATTTTTTTTTTTTTTTTTTAATTTTTTAAAAAAAAATTTTTATTTTTTTTTTTATATTTTTTTTAAATTTTTTTTATTTTTTTATTTTTTTTAAAAACATTTTATATATTAATTAAAAATGATTTCAGCATTCGCTCGTAATAGTGTTAGATTCTTTTCAACTAAACCACACGTTTTAATTGATAAAAACACCAAAGTAATCTGTCAAGGTTTTACAGGTAACCAAGGTACCTTCCACAGCAAACAAGCTATTGAATATGGTACCCAAATGGTTGGTGGTGTTTCACCAGGTAAAGGTGGTCAAAAACATTTAGAATTACCAGTTTTCAACACTGTTCAAGAAGCCAAACAACAAACCGGCGCTAATGCCACAGTTATTTATGTTCCACCACCATTTGCCGCTGCTGCCATCAAAGAAGCTATTGATGCTGATATGGAATTAATTGTTTGCATTACTGAAGGTATTCCACAACAAGATATGGTTAAAGTAAATTTCATAGATTCATAAAACATAATTATCACAATCATCATAATCATCACAGTTACTATATATCATTGTCACCTCTATTTTGGTTAAAGAAATTTCAAAAAAAAAAAAAATTAAATTTCAAAAAAAAAATGATGATCACTTTCGATTCGACCGCAACAACAATAATAATAATAGTGGAAATTGTGGCAGTAATATTAACAGCAATAAAAACAATAATAATCACACTTCAACAATAATTATAATTAAAATAACTATCGGATATTAAAAAAAAAAACATTATTATTTTTACACGAATTAAATATTAATAATTCATATCTATTTTATTTAGGTTAAAAAATATCTTAATGAAAAACCAACAACTCGTTTAATTGGCCCAAATTGTCCAGGTATCATCAAACCAGGAGAATGTAAAATTGGTATTATGCCAGGTCACATCCACAAAAAAGGTAAAATTGGTATTGTTTCACGTTCAGGTACTTTAACTTATGAAGCTGTTGCTCAAACTACCGCTGTTGGTTTAGGTCAATCAACCTGTATTGGTATTGGTGGTGATCCATTCAACGGTACCAACTTTGTCGATTGCTTAAAGATGTTCACAAAAGATCCACAAACTGAAGGTATTATTTTAATTGGTGAAATTGGTGGTGAAGCTGAAGAAGAAGCCGCTCAATGGTTAATTGATAACCCAACTGATAAACCAGTCGTTTCATTTATTGCTGGTACCTCTGCCCCACCAGGTAGAAGAATGGGTCACGCTGGTGCTATCATCAGTGGCGGTAAAGGTGATGCCAACTCTAAAATCAATGCCTTAAAAGCTGCCGGTGTTACCATCTCACCATCACCAGCCAAATTAGGTGAAGCCATGTTAGAAAGAATGAAAGCTTTAGGTAAAGCTTAAATCCAATTTTTAAAATAATAATATAATAATATAAAATATAAAATCTTTTTTTTTAAAAAATTTTTGATCTCAAAAAAAAAAAAATCCAAAATAATAGTAATATAAATATTAATAATATAATAATTATAATTATTTAAAAAAAAAACATATTAAATAAAACCTTTACAAAAAAAAAACCTATGAACAACCCATCAATTATCAAATTATTTGTTTAAAAGAAATATATTCATACATTTCATTTTTGGAATTTTCACACATTTTTGGAAATTTAAAAAAAAAAAAAAAAATTAAAAATTATATAAAATTTTTTTATAAAATTTTTTTTATAAAATTTTTTTTTATAAAATTTTTTTTCTTTTTTTTTTTCACTTGCTAAACCGAAAAATTTTTTATTATTTATTTCGCTAAACTTAATAGTTGGATTATCTGTTTTTTTTTTTTGTTTCAATAAAAGAAGAAAACAAGGTTTTATATTTAATTATAAAAAGCAAAGGAAAAAAAAAATCAATACGATTCAAGATCATATTAAATTTTTTTTTTGTAAACTCAATAAAATTTAAATAAAAAAAATAGAAAAAAAAGTAATTAAACTCAAACAAAGACATTATTTTACAACTACTTTACTTACAACCAACATCACCACATTACAATAAAAGATTTAAAGAAATTTAAAATTTTAGATATACATTTTTAATAATAATAATTGATAAAAAAAAAAAAAAAAAAAAAAAAAAAAAGAATAGTTTGGTGGTTAATTTAGTTATATCTTTTGGAATATACTAGTTAATTAATAATACATAATAAAACTATATCCAATCATCAAATCAAATCAAAAAAAAAAAAAAAAATAGATTTTAAAATAATTAGTTCAATCACCCACATTATTGTTTTATAATAATAATGATATAAAGAAATAATTTAATATCTTCAATTCTTATGGTTTTAAATATATATTTATAAAATATTATTTTCAATTTTATCCACTTTAATAATCATCACATAAATAATTTTTTTTTTTTTTTCTTTTTTTTTTTTTTTTTTATCCTTTGTTATCTAATATTAATCAATATATGACTATATATTATACACCAGTTCACACTCACAGAATCTATAAAAGTTTATTGGACCTCATTTGTTTGATTAAAGTCTGCATTTTTTATTTTATTTTTTATTATTTCTTTTTTTATCATAATAATCCAATATCATAAACATGTGTTTTGTTGTATGTGTTCTTTAATATACAACATATTAACAAAACAATAATTCAAAAAAGGGATTTAATGTTGGTGTTAATAATAGTATATAGAAAATTATTTTTCTATTCAAGTACCCCACCCATAAAACTTTTGTTTAAATTTAGTACAGTGTTGTCAATTGTGTATCCTTTATAAAGAGAAAATAATAATAATAAATAAAAAAAAAAAAAAAAGGAAAAAAAATTCTCACAAACACACACAACACACAAAAACACACAATTTCAATAGTTTAAATTTCACTATATACTTTTTTTTTTTTTTTTTTATTTATTTGTTTTTTTTTTTTTTTTTTTTATTTCTTTTTTTTTTTTTTTTTTTTAAAATTATTTTAAATAATTTTAAATTATTTCTCTATTAAAAATAGGGTTTCTAAAAAATAATATCAATAAAATAAAAAAAAAAGAAAATATATACCAAATAATAATAAACCAAATAATTATCTATCTTTTTTTTCACAATCATAAACCTTTTTTTTTTTAAAAATCTATTTATCAAAAATAAAACTATAGTATTTTACTACTATTTATAATTGCTTTTTTTTTTTTTTTTTTTTTTTTCGTTTATTTATTTAATTTCAAGTTTATAAATTAAACTAGTTCAATATTTGTATAATAATAATTTCAATTTTATATTATTTATAATTGTGTATTTGTTTTGTCGATATAAAAATATAATACAATTTATTTAGCATTAATATAATATTAAACAACAATCTAATATTTCTTAAAATAATAAATAATCATAATAACAATCCTAAAATAATAATCTAACCCATTTTTAATCAAAATAATAATATAATAAAACAGGTTTTTTTTTTAATTTTTTTTCTTTCTCTCTTATTGTAATTTTTTAAATCAAGTATCAAATCTTTTTTTTTTAAAGGTTAGAGAAAACAATAAACATTATTATCACTCATTCTAAAAGGAAAAATGGCAACCGTAGAAAATAGTAATATTCAAGCTACCCAACCAGCTGCTGCTGATTCGACTACTGCAGCTTCAGCCCCTGCTCAACCAAAATTAGGTAAATATTATCAAATGTTTTTTTTTGTTTTGTTTTTTTTTGTTTTGTTTTGTTTTTTTTTTTTTTTTTTTTTTTTTTTTTGTTAATTTACATCATTCATAATTTATCCCATTCCAGTAAAATAATTTGAGATTGTATTCATTTTTAAAAAAATAAACAAACAATTTTATTTTATTTTTGTTTTGTTATTCATATTTCTCAAAAAAGAAGTTATAGTTTTTTTGGTTTTTTTTTCTGTTGTTATTTATTTTTTTATTTCTCTGGTTATTTTATATGAAAAAAAAAAATTCGAAACGACCGAAGTTTTTTTTTTTTTTTTTTTTTTATTTTTTAAAATTTTTTTTTTTTTTTATAATTTTTTTATTATTATTTTTTTTTTTTTTTTAATTTTATTTTATAAAAAAATTATAACAAACTAGATAATTAATTTTATTTTATTTTAAATCTAATCTTCTTTTTATTCTTGTTCAAAAATAAATTTTACAATTTATTTTTTTATTTTTGTTTGGTATATTTAAAATGATATCAAATAATTTAGAGGGTAAAGCATTAGAAGATGCTATCAAAAAACAAATCGAATATTATTTATCACGTGAAAATCTTTCAACTGATTTTTACCTCACAAATAGAATGAACAGCGAAATGTATGTTGCTCTGAAGTATATGCAAATTCAA